CGACTCAGCTCAGTGGCTCAACAAAGGTTGAGTGAAGCAAGTAAGCGGGTCGAGGCACTGTGGGTTGGGTTAGACCTAAAAAAAAAAACACACATATCCTTCTCATTTTTAAAGTCTAAAACAACATCATTTCACACTTGTATAAAAAGGTAAGAATTTTTCTTTCAGACGCTTCCTTTATCCTCTCTACCTCCATTGTTTCTCATTCTAGGTAATTTTTTATCATCATTTTTTGTCGAACATTGCTGAAAAACTCATCGGTATTTGGGGCTAACTTTCGAATTCTGGAAATAGTCTGTCGAAAACTAGGAATGCAATAGGAAAACTTGTTGAAAATTTTAAATTACACCAAAAATTCAACTTGATTATGGAATTTCCAAAAAATTCTCAAAAAAATGCAAAAAAATTTCAAAAAAAAACCTAATCCTCGAATCAAAATAATAAACCTTGAGAAACCTTCTTCAGAAAACTATAATCTTCTTTAAAAAATTTTTTTTTTATTTTCTCTTATTTCGTCTATCCCCTTTCTTGTGATTGCTAGAGAGTTTATATAAGGTTGGTTCACAAGATTAAATGAGGATTCAAAAGTCAGAATCTTTTTTTTTTTCAAAAAAAACCCTATCCTTTTATCTATTTATCTTTGTTTTAAAAACGAAATCCTTTTTTTTTTATCATAGTTTCAAAATTTGACCTACTAATCCTAGAGTTTTATCAGGACTAAAACTCTATTTTTATTTTATTTTTATTTTTTTTAACTTTATCTGAAGCTCACTGAGATTCAGAACATTGGTGTTTACACCAAGTATTAAATAAAAAATAATAACAAGATGATATCAGAGATAACCTATTACAATATAAAAAAAAAAGAACCAATTACATGTTATGTAATGATATCATATTTTTTAAACAATGCAAAAAAGGAATAGAGATAACATAAACAAAAAATTTATACAAATTTTAATCGAATATTCATATATCTAGAAACCTACAATGTAATAAAGGAAGATTACGTATGTGACAAATACTTTACCTTATAGTATTCATAAATGACTATAAATGTCTTTTTTTAGTTATTTGTCTTCTGTTATTAATGATTTTCATGCACAATAAATCTTTTTTAGCAAGATTAAGTCATTTTATCAAACATCATAATCTGAAAAAACAAACAAAACAAATGCTAAGATGAGATAAAAAAACATAATAGACTATTTTAGAATAATTTCCTAAGGATATCTTGAATAAATTAACAAATTCATGTTAACAAGTGATAATTTTTCAGTAATTTCAAAAATATTATGTTAAAAAAAAACTAAATTTAAAATTCCTTTCATGTTTCTAACTAAATTCAATATTCAATTTCAAGATTTTCGGAGAAAAATCTTATTTCTTTCATCTTCTATTTTATTTTGAATTTTTCTCACCAACCAAACAAAACTAAACTAAGAACTGCAATAACGAAATAAATTGGTAAAAAAAGAAAAAGAATGGCCAAGCACTGAAAATTATCAATGTTGAAATAGTGCTTACCAATGGAGCTTGAACGGTAGTAGAAATGCAACAAATCAGACAAAAAGTTTAGGGATTTGACCTAAGAAATCAAACAAGAAGTTTAAGGATTTGACTCAAAATACAAGAAAGCTAACTTGAAATTTGCAGAAACGAAATGAAAAAAGATGAAAATTGATCACAAATAACTGAAACTTACGTAAAAAATGAAAAGAAAGCAACCCAAAATAAGCAAAAATGGAAAAAATGAGTAAAGGTAAAAAAAGCAGAAATGGGGTTTCACGAGTTTAAAATTTAAGAAAAATTTAGCAATGGAAAAGTGTGATTATTAAATACATTTAACGCCTTGAATAATCCCCTGTCGTAACGGTTTTGGGACCATTAGATGTAAAGTGTTTTAAGATCGAGAAAAATAAAAGGGCAATCACCACCAATCTTTGTTAGGGTGTGATTGGTCACCCAAAAATTTATCTTTTAATAAAACTATAAAAGTGGTTTAAAGTTTATCAAAAAGATAAATTTTGATCTACGAAAAATCAAGTTAGGCTCAGGAGTTGATTACATGTGAAGAGAAATTAACACGCCTACAACGCCCATAAATTGGTACCATTTAATTATGCGCTATTTTCGATGTTGGATAAAAATAGTTTTAATTTGAAATTTAACACTGATTTCCTTCACTTTAAAAAAATAAATTTTGGTTAAAAATTTTTTTAGGAATATTGAAGAAATCTTTAAGTTAAAGAATTATCTTAAAATTCTCCAACATCTAGGTAGAATTTAAAATAACTTTTTTCGTTTAAGATTTAACACAATATTCTTTAAAATAAAAAAGAACACTATTTATGAAAGATAATTATTGATGACTCTCCAACATCTAGATAGAATACAAAGAATTATTTTCTTCAGAATGTTATTTTTGTTTTATTTTATAACATCACAACTTCAAAAATATATATATTTTTGTCTTGTAAAACATTTTATAAGAAAAAGTAAATAATGGTATTGTTAGGTATCAAATACAAATTAAAGATAGAGAAATACGAAATGAGCGTCAACAATAATATAGTGATGCATGTATGCCCATGAATATTATGCCATATGATAAATGCAATTTTAAAAAAATGGATTCTTAAATATAATGAGACCGCCTTGACTCTCCAACATCTAGGCAGAGCTTAGGTGCGACTGTTTATATTTAATATCCCAATTTACTATTATCTTTTTATTAAAGTTTTAATCCCATTGTTAAGGTGAATTAAGAACAGGCATGAAAAACTTAATGAAATAAAGTTTCTTAACTACCCCATCATTTAGGCAGCATTAAAAAATAAATTACTTCAAGTGAGATTTTCACACGTGTCCTTAGGATTTTGAGATGGTCTTGGATATATGTTTTAAAATTTGAATGATTTTTTTATAATGATTTGAGAATGCATACCGAATTTGGGGTTTTTAGAATTTTGGATTTTAAAGTATTGGATTTTAAGGTTTGGAATTTTGGATTTTAGGGTTAGGGTTTCAAGTTTTAGATTTTGAGGTTAGGTTTTTTATTTTAGGGTTTGAGGTTTGGGGTTTTGATTTTAGGGTTTGAAGTTTGAGGTTTTGGTTTTAAGGTTTAGAAGATTTAGGGTTTTGATTTTAAGGTTTTGATGTTTTAGGGATTTGATTTTAGAGTTTTGATGGTCTAGGGTTTCATTTTTAGGGTTTTGAGGTTTAGGGTTTAATTTTAGGGTTTGGAGGTTTAGGTTTTGTTTTTAAGGTTTGAAGTGTTTAGGGTTTAGTTTGTAGGGTTTTGAGGGTTTAAGGTTTTGTTTTTAGGGTTTAGGGTTTAGAAGTTTGGGGTTTAGTTTTTTTTTTTATTTTTTTTAAAAACATGAACATCTCTAAAAATCTCCAACATCTAGGTGAATTTTCGAAGCAAATTCAATTTTTATGATTTTCAAAAAAACTATTTAAAACAACCTTTTAATGAAAATTTATTATTATTAATATTAATAATTTATTATTTATTATCTTTTTATACTTTTTAATTTTGAAATTTTTTTATAATAATTCCTTAACATCTAGGTGAAATTATTTTTAGAAGTATGTTTTTATTCTCTCCAACATCTAGGTAGGAAAAATAATAATAAAAAAATTATTAATTCAATTCTTATTATTTTTTAGATTATTACTATTATTATTTTTGCATTTTTAGTACTCTTTTAGTTATTATCCTACTTTATTTTCATTTTATTACCATTAAAAAATAATCAAATAATTATTCTAACAAAATTTAAAATTTATCATGCATAAATGAAAAAAAACATAAAATAACAAAAATAGTAATATAAAAAATTTAAAAATTCCAAAAAAATAAAATAAAGTAAAAAAAATACTTGAATCGAACCAATCAACAGTCTGGTCAACGTTAGTCTGATTGGTTCGATGATTCAGTCAGCGGTTCAGGCGATCAGTCTATAGTTCGGTCTGATTTGAATTGCTTCAATTGGATCGATCAGCAGCTGTTGAAGGAACGGGTCAACAGGCTAGGTTACACGGATCCCAGGTTAGATCCGGATCCACACGCAGATCTTCTTTGGCTAAAACGATGTTGTTTTGGGCTTGAGTTTTCTATATAAAGTCAAAATTTTCTTTTTTAGTTCATTTCAAACCTTTCAGCCAAAAAAAATCTAGAGCTCCAAAAAAAGCCCTAAAGGCTCTGCCGCCGTCTGACCTTCGATCACCTACATCGCCACGCCCACCCCTGTGTCGGTCTTCGTTGGTGGTTGCCGTCGATGGTCAGAAAACACCAAAAATACTCCCATAAGCTCTCTTCAATGTGCTCTTCTTGTATTTGACCTTTTTTTGTTGAAAATAGCCTCGATCAACGTAAATCGAGGCTCAAAGTTTTTTTTTTCTCTTTTTGTTTTTATAAAAACTAAAGCTGATATATTTTCGTTGTTTTTTGCAAGTAGCTTGGCACTGTTGGTTCCTCGTTTAATCAGCGAGGACTATGTTGTTTTGTTTTTTATTTATTTTTGTTATTTCGATGGGTGAGGGTTTTGTAGGATGTTTGGGGAAGGTAGCTGTGTGAAGTTGGGGATCGACGCAAGGTCAAGCTGGGGTTTCTGGGTGTGGGTACTTAGGTTCTTTTGGTTGTGGAAGATGTGTCCAAGAGGTCTATTCGATAAGAGAGCTTGGTTCTTTATAGGAGGTTGGGTGGTGATGAAGGGTAAAGTAGATGGTGGCTATAAATGGTGGCTGCAGGGTGGCTAGATGTAGGAGTAGAGTGGGCTGTAAGGTGGCTGACCTGATAGGACTAGGCAGGGGCTGGACGGGCGACAGCGGCGCCGTACACCAGCCCTTACTTTTTGTTTTCTTTTTTTTTTAATAATTAATTTTTAATTCTTTAATATTATTAAGTTTTAATTAATAAATTAATATAAAAGATAATAAAATAAAAAATTTCAGGCCTTGGGCTTAAAAAGAAAATGGGTTTTAGGCCTGATTCAATCAAATTGAGCCTGAAGCCTAACGGAATCGAAATCAGGCTTAAAGCCTAGTTGAATCAAAATTGGACCTGGGTTTAAGAACCTAATAGACCAGAAGAATTTTAAAATGAGATTCAACTAAGATCTAAAAAAATTTAGTGTTTACATCCCCTTCCATTTTTTTTGTGATTATTCAAGGCGTTTTTTTGGCAAAAAATATCTTGAATAATCCCATACAAAAAATTAAATGGGGTTATTTAATACATTTTTAGCCAAAAATGCTTTTAAAAATCTCCTCCAATTTTTTTTTTAGATTATTCAAGGCGTTCATGAACAAAAACATCTTGAATAATCTCTTTCCATTTTTTTGTGAATTATTCAAGTCATTTTTGACCAAAAAACATCTTGAATAATTTCTTACAAAAAATTGAATGAAGTTATTCAATATATTTTTAGCCAAAAATACCTTAAATAATCCTCAAAAAATTTGGAGAGAAAATTATTCAAGACTTTTTTTGTCAAAAAATATCTTAAATAATCTTTTACAAAAAATAAAATGAGATTGTTTAAAGTATTTTTAGCTAAAAATGCATTAAATAATCATTTTCAATTAAAAGTCAAAGTATATAGCAACGTTTAGATCAACAAACGTTATAAAAATATATTTTTAATAATGCTTTTAAATTCAAATATTGTTATATAAAAATTTAATAACGTTTTATAAAAAAATACCGTTAACTTTATAAAAACATGAAATTTTGTAACATTTATTTAAAAACGTTACTAAAAAACAATCACTAAATTTTCGTTTTCATGTAATGATTAAGTAAAGGAACTCAAAGATTGATTTTAGACCATGAAATGAAATTTGAAATTGGTACTATTATTTTTGCCGAAGAAAGACAAATAAAATGAAATGAAAAGAATAAAAATATTGGAATTTTACTAGGAACTTTTATTTAGCAACCAGGCACATAAAATGAAATGAAAAGAGTAAAGTGATCGAAGCTGTCCCTCCTAAATACATAACTTTTTTGAGAATTCTAGATTGTATGCTTTGAGTTGGTACTACTATTATTCTTGTCATCATCCTTGTCCTCTTCTAGCTCAAAAGCTGAGATAGGGAAATGTGCTCTGATGCCACTGGGAATAGCAAAGAAAATCTTGCCAGAAGAAGGATCTTCGATGAATATGTCAGAAATGCTAACCCATAAGAACAGCTCCTTACTCTTGACGCCTGTCACTTTCTTAACACCACCCTTCTCGGCAAAAAAGGTGATCTCAGTATTATACGAGACCAACTTATTAATTTGCTTGAATTTGTGCTCTTTCTTTTTCTTCAGCTTCATCCAGACAAACCCAGTTGATCGTTTTCGTCCAAACTCCACAATTTCCACAGGTAAGATGCCTTTGGGGAGAGAGATCTCCTCTAGCAGCTCTAAAGATTTTAGCTGGCAAACATCTTCTCCATAGTAAATCTCAGCATTCTCTTTGTGACTCTCAATGAGTTGTGTTGCCATTTTAAGGTCTGAGTTTTCTTGTGAAAAATGGTTGTGATAACAGTATTTATGTAGTTTTGTTTTGGACAAGGCTCTGAATTTCGTTTATAATGAAGATCCCAATCTACATATATTTTTTAATGGTATACAAGTGTCCAGAAATGCTTTAGAATGTTAGGTGGAGAATGGCCAAGCCAGCTAGTTTGTATTGTGTCCTCCATTAGCCTAATCCAGTATGAAGAAACGGAAGCCTAGCCTAATTAGCTAGCTACGACTTTTAAGTTTTTTTTTTTTTTTTTTTTCTTTCAACAGAGCTGGAAGAAGGTTAAGAGGTTTATATTTCATAATAGCCTTTATCATTCATATGACTGTCATTATCCAAGCAATTATACATGAACATGCATATCAGTCAATTTTGATCCAATGAAGTGGTTTCTTGTACTTTCTTAACCCTTTTCAGCTGGTAAATCACTATGATTGAAGCACCTCGGCGTGCAATGTTTATGTCACTGAAATTAGAATTTGCAGGTCTAAATCCTATGGATTTAATATTCTGGTAGGTATTGTTTGAATGCAAAATCTATTGTTAGGAGGACCATGCAGAGTTTTGTTCCAAGTAAAATCGCTCCGGTACATTCTGGTTGCTGAGTACATGTGCTGCAAATTGAGTTGTTATGGTAAAGTTTGGCAGCCGAATTTCCCCACTCTGCTACGATATAGGCGGCTAAGCTAGCTAACACGTCGATCTAACCCTAGTTATTAATTAGTAGTTAACGGTGGCTACTTTATTTAAGACGAGTTAACGGAATCTATCATATTTTTTATGTGATGTAATTGAATTTAAATATTAATTTTAATAAAATTTATTTAGTATAAATTTATTATTATTATTATTTTTAATCACAATTTTAATAAATTTTTAATCAAAATTATAGTAATTATTTTTTTTTAATATTATCAACATTAATCTTGTTATTTATTTAAATGAAATCTTACTTTATGATTGGATTGAGAGGAAGGGAAAGAAAGGAAAATAAAATAAAAGAAAGCAATGGAAATAGAAAAATATTTCTTTTATTTGGATAAACTTTTAATTTAAAAGAAAGAAAAGAGATATAAACTCAATAATCTTTAATTTCTCTTGTAATCCTCACTTTTTTAATACTTCAATTTGAAGGAAAAGCTAAGGAAATGAAAGTTGAAAAAATTTTATTTTTATAAAAAAGACTATTATATCTATCATTTTATTAATATTAAAAATCTAATTAAAAAAAACTATATCACAATCTTCTTATAATTTTTTCAAAGCCATCTTTTTTTTTTAAGTAAATTTTACATGTTTCTTCTAATATAAAAATTTTTATAACTTTTTTGTGATTTAATTTTGATGAATGATTGAATATGAATAAACATATTTTTTGGGTTTATGAGATGTAATGTTTTTATGTTATTGCATTTTTTATATTTAATAGTTTTTATATAAATACATCGTTTAAGTGATAGTATGCTGAAATTTTAGCAGTGGTTAAAAAATTTATCAATGCATGTTTGTAAAATATCTTTTTATTTCACTTGATTAAAAATCATTGATATAACAATAATTGTGAGATCATACAAGATAACAAACATATCATGGTCCATGAGTGCTTTAAAATCACAATAAATGAAAAGTTATAATTAGAAAAAATTATTATAATGAATCATTTTTTTTCATTATTTATCCAAATAATGATTGTTAGAAATTTTTTTTTTATTAATTTTAATTATCCAAATAAGATATACATATATCTTTTCTTTTCCTTTAAAAAACTTTTTTTTTTATTAATATTTATCCAAACATTACCTTAAGGATTTGTTACTAACAGTTAGGGCGTGGTTTAGACTGTCAAGGTTGGTAGATTTTAGGGCCCGGCGACCATGGCTAGTACCGTGTTGATTCATTCTCTTTCCATAAAGCTTTCATTGGAACCAAAACACCATTGAGAAAGAGGTCTTAGCCTCGTTATTGAGAGACACCAGTGAATGATAATTCATTCTTTCCTTGGAGTTAATTCATGAACACATTTAAAGATTAAAAATAAAATTTTAAAAAAATTATACTTGATATTTTCAAATTTTTTTTGAATTATTTTTGACAAAATTAATAAATTTATCAATAAATATATATATATATATATATTATGTAAACAGACACACACAAAAAATCATGAAATGATTCTTCCTTCAATAGATCTTGAATAGGAGTTTAAGAAGTAGTAATGACCCTCCATCATTCGAGACCCTCGATGCCACTCTCACTCTCTCACCAAATAATAACGTTAAGCCCTTCACAACGAGGTGACTTAGCGAGCATTTAGAATCAACCGAATCCCCGATGGGGTGCGGTTTGCACGATAAGATGGACAAACTGATTGAAAACCCGTTTGGGTGTTCATGTTATGACGCGAATATCATCGATTAATCATTGAGGGATTTTGTTCCAGTCATCCACCACCATTCACCGTGGCTGTTTTATTTGTTTTTTTTAATCTTTTTGTCCTTCAAAGTTGAGTTGTAAAAACAAATTTATCTTTTTAATTTATTTGTTATTAAAAATTATAAAAATAATTTTATTAATTTAATATAATAAATAAATAAATAAATTTAATTATTTATTAATAAAAACTAGTAGATCTAATGGTAGATCTCAGCCTCTTCTTGGCGAGTTGCTATTTGTTGTAATGCCATGTTCGTTCTGGAAAACTGGGCATGCAATTCTAACGCTCCAAGAGTCCTTTTATATAAGCACGTTTGGGGGAGAGTGCGAGAGTTTAAAAGGGTAGTTTTGTATTTTAATTTTTAATTATTAAAGAGTGACACATTTTGTATGATTTAATTTTCATTCTTTATATAGTATTATATTAAAATTAAAACCATTTATTTATGCATAAATAAATAAATATATACATGCATAAATTTATTTAACAACAAATCCTAGAAAATAAAGGGACTAGCAAAAGTGATATTGCTAGGATCGGTATCATCTACAGAATTATCAAAAAGAGTAATCCAAATCATCATCTCCTTGCTTTTGACACCTGTCAACCTGCGCATCCGACGATCCTAAAGAAGAGCCGTCATCTTGGGTCCATACGGGGTGCTCCAAGGACCTTGAACCAATACTTGAAGGTCTTTTGCTGTTTCAGCCAAATGAACACCATGGTCCGATTGTAGCCGACCTCCACGAGATTGTTATAAGGCATCAGCCCTTTGGGCAGACGAAACTCGTAGAGGAGCTCCTGCGTTTTTTGTTTGCAAAGAGCCGCCCCATGGTAGACCTCAGCCCCTTCTCTGTGAGTTGCTATTTGCTTTAATGCCATGTTCGTTTCAATTCGTTCCTTATAACAACCCAAGAGTCCCTACATGTAGTCGCTTTTGCCTTTTTGGAAGGAGAGTGGGAGAGTTTTTAAAAAAAGCCAGTTGTGTTTTATTTTTAGGCTAAGTTTGGATTCTCGTTAAGGTGCAATTAAGTTCATTACATCATTAATTAAATTTAAATGTTAATTTTAATAAAATTCATTTAATATAAATATTTAATTAAATTTTTTAATTATAATTATAATATTTTTTTTGTCGATTACAATTATAATAATTTTTATTATTATTTTCAATCTTATCAAAATCAATCTTATTGTCCATTCAAATAAAATTGTATTCTTTTAAATTTGAAATATTAACTAATCTTGATAATATTACATACTTGATCACTAATTGTCTTTGAAGATCTTATAATCCAAATTCAAGTATTATCATGTATAATAGATTTGTATAATTTTCTTTGTATGACTTCCCTTCCACCACTCAGAACAGAAAATATTGCAAACCCAAAATTTTAAACTACTGTAAGAAACAGGGGCAAAAATATCAGTATTGCTTATTGAGTGATGCGATTCCTGGTAGCTAGACTTACTGTTTTCTAACTTGTGTTGCAGCATCTATATCTTGTTTGAGCACATTGGTAGCATTCTGAAACTGAATGAACTCCTCGTCTTGGATTGTCTGGTGCTGAATGTCTTTAAAGGTTTTCCAATTTTCTTTTGCTTCTTTTTCTTTCTGCTCCATCAAGTAAATAATAGCCTAGGAAATAATATTCACATTAAAATTGACTTATTCTGACATGAAAACAGTAAATCACTTAAATTTCAAGAGCTAAGAACCAAAAAGGAAAAAAAAAAAAAACTGAATTGATCTGCCAATTATATCACCTTATAAAGAGGACGTCTAGCATCAGGAACCCTTTGAACATCTTCTACCAAGCATTTGCACTTCAAAGCCTTTTGAACATCTCCCTACAGAGAAATTTCAATCAAAGTGGTGCAAAAATGGAATATTGAAACAAATTATACTAGCAGAATTGAAGTCAAGAAATTAAGAAATAAACCTTGTAGATGTACATTTCTGCAAGCAACATTTCAATTTCATAAGCTTCATGTGATTTCTTCTCCTTTTTGGCCCTTTTCAATGCTTTTTTTAGCACTTTTATTGCTTCATCTTCTCTTCTGCTCATTTCCAGCCTCGCAAGAACACCCTTTCATATCAAATGCAGAGAGCATATTTGAACTCAATATCTCACGCAAAATTTATAATAATCATCGAGCATATACATAATAGAGGTGTCAAACCTGAAGTTCCTTGAAAGGAGGTTGTTCTTTTCCTAATAGAGTTTCCAGCTCTTTTATATCAGCATCCATGTCTTTTGCCTGGCCCCTATAATTTTGATAATCAACCAATCTCTCCAAAGCTAGATTACCTCCATGGAGGGCTGCAAGGGACATGGACCTTGAGACACTGTGCTTTGGCTTCCTATTCCAAGCACGACTCACATATCTCCACCCAAAACCAATGCAAATACCGCCAATGATGATAAAGGGTGTTGCTGCCAAAGCTATTGTTCTATATTTAGTCTCTGTATTGATCTTTTTAGCCGGGTTTGCCATGAGAGAGACCTAACCTTTTGTGATCGAAATATGTTTTTTTTTTTTTTTTTCTAATTAGGTGATGGATATACTATAAATCAAAACTGAAAGGAAATTTGGAGAGAATAAATAGAAGATGTAGCGATGTGAGGAGGTAAAATAAAATTATCTTGATTTCTGGCTTGTTTGATAGGCAAAGAAATCCCCCTATATATATTCTTGGAATCAGCTGAAGCTCAAGGAAAAACTTTAATTATTCCTTACCTTCTCCTG